TACTGTAACAGGGATTATTATAATTAGCATATTAAGATTATACATGTTAAAACTACTCAAGAATAATTCTGTTTGATGTTAATGATATAAATGAAGTGTCCAAATGCAATGGAGACTGCTACATGGAAGCCATTCAATGAAATACCACAAGTGTACATTTGCTTGGGCCTAATTAACCACTTTGTCATAACTACCAGTATGTCTCCATGAAACAGATCAACACCTCATAAGAGGTGTTTATCCAGTATATGTCAAACGTTATGTCTACTACTTCGTTAAAGAGTGTTTGGTGCATAATAAGGATGTTTTGTATATGTACAATTATGTGCTTATTAAAAGTGTCAAGCTATAGCTAATAAGAGTTCAGATGTATGTGGTTATTAATGCTGTATATATAGTACAGCATTAATTATTATTGTGTTAATTTGCAATAGGAGTTTCACTGGCTGACAAAGTCAAAGCTGTGACAATAGAGCTTTAGAAAGAAAGACAAGATTATAATACGAGTATCGTTGTTATTTTTTGACTTTCATTAATTTTATTGTTTATGTTGGGAGTGTGACTTATGAAACCTTAAGCCTACTATTATTTGCGTCTACTAATTTTAACTTTTTTAACCAAATTAACTATCAATAATAACCAGTATAATGAATAATAATTATTTTGGCGTCTATTTAATTTAGTGGTTTAAAGCTCTCTCGCTAATATAGCTGAATTTAGTAGACGCTAAAAATAGTAGGCTTAAGGTAATTTAGTTTCACAATATACCGTATAGCGCTTTATTTTGGCAGCGTTTTATTTTGGTGATTTTGCTGTAAAATTGTAATTGGCGGTTTTTGATTTGGTGATTTTTGTGTACACTTGCATTACTGAGCATGCGCATTAATGATTGGTGGGTTTAATATTGGCGATTCTTCTTGCACACCGTCAATCGCCAAAATAAAACTCTGCCAAATTAAAGCGTTATATGGCAGTACAGTAGTTTCAAAAGGGTAAAATATACACTAATGGAAGCAATACATTTGGTATTGCACTTTACGTCAATGTGCACCTTACATCAGTTGAAGATACTGGAATAGAGTCGGACATTAATGATGATTATAATTCAGCTGATCCATCTTTCTTTCCATTTGGTACTAATGTCATGAATGCTCCTACTATGATGCTTAATAGCAACATACCAGGGACATATATATTTTCTCTGAATCATGTATCACCAGGTATGACTATTGTACATGTATCAACAGTTCCATATAACTTGTATATCTTTTAGTTCCTTGCATTGAACCTAGCCCACCTGACTGCTTTGCTATATGTAAAGCTAAACTTCTCAAAATGACATGTGAAGTTATGAAGATTAATGGGAAGGTTCTACCAGCTCCTTGTAATAACTGAGCACATTCATTTTTATTCTGCTTTGTTTTGTGATTAAATTGTTTTTAAGTAGTGAATGAGTTAATTTTATACTTAAACAGTAGAGACTGGAAATAGTTTTTATTATACCAGCATTAATATTATTTTTTGTCATGGGTTATTTTTAATAACTATTTTGTAACAAAGTGTCAGACAAGAAATGAAAGAGAAAGGGAGAAAGTCATAGTTACAGCTTTTGATTATAAAATCAACTAAGAGATAGTGGAGATAGTGAAGCAGGTACTATATAAAAAGAAAGATCCTATTTAAACAGATAAGCTGTATTACTATATACTGCTGGTGATAGGTGTACATGAATATACTTTAGGAGTACATGATGAAGTAGTGTTGAAGAATGCAAACATTCACAATACCAGTAATTAGTGACAATTAAGAAATCATACCATTATCTATCATCATGTTACAAGCAGGGCTATAATACAGTATGTACTAACACACATACGTACCTGAACACAGTTGATATTACTAATGTCAGTATATTGTATTATATGGAGGTACATTGATAAAGCTTAGGAATGATAATGAGTGGTAACACTGTGGTGGCTCCAATTAGTGAACATACATACAGTATTGTAACTGGAGCTATGGGGAGTCTACACATCAAAGGCCCTTCAATGGTTTCTGTATATTACATACTTTGTGGCTTCTATGATGATAATTATAAAAGTGGCAGACAGTAAGAGCTGAATTCATCACAATAGAGAAACAACTAAAATGGGATCAGTACTTCTAACAGGAACTATACTAGTAAGATACAATATATATGATAGTGTATGGTACTATCTTTACAGGTTATACTGAGTACATGTTATACAAATGGACTAGAACTAACTGACTTGTACCCATATGGTACAGAACATGGAGACACCATGAGGACTGGATATAATAGTCTCCCTACAGTGCCATTACTGGCTCCAATTGATAATTTACTTGCGTTTGGTCCAGCTGGACTTACAGCAACAAGATATTCAGTTAGTAGCTACAGACACACACACACACATTATTAGTGCTTTAGTTTGTAATGTAGTGCAATTGTACACTAACCATTATCTGGTCATTTTATTAGTAACACAATCTATTGATCATTTCTCAGTTGATAACAATTACTTATATTATCTATAGATTAACTATGATGGGTACCTGCGATTGCATAATGATGGTAGTGATAGCATCTTATTAAATTTGTTCTACCTTGGTGATGGTGATTTTGACAATACTAAGATATACGGTAGGACTACTGCTGATCCAGGATTAATGAACAGAGCCATGGATCAGATTAATGAAGCATTTCCTTATACTTTCTGTAGTACATCTCCTCCTACACAATTAATAGTAGGAACATGGATAGATTATCTAAAGTTTGGCTCAAACCCAGTTAGTATATTAATTACTTAATACATGAAATACTGTTAATAATAGCTAGCAACACTATAATCACTTTATTTATTATTTTTAGGGCAGTAACTTCCAGGCTATAGTTGTAACTAATGGAAGCATTACATTTGGTATTGCACTTTATGTTGATGTGAGCATTGCATCAGCTGAAACTACTGGAATAGAGTCATATATTAATAGTGTCACTACAGTAGTTGATTATTCTTTATTTCCATTTGGTACTACTGTTATGGGTGCTCCTAGCATGATGCTTAACAGCAACATACCAGGGACATATATATTTTCACTGAATGATATACCACCACCAGGTATGACTATAGTACATGTATCAACTGTTCCATATAACTTGTTGTATATCTTTTAGACCCTTGCAGTTCTGTCTGCTATTCTTGTAAGCCCAGACTTTTTCAGTTGGCATGTGAGATCAGGAGGAGCAATGGTGAAAATGTACCAGCTTCTTGTAATAACTAATGACATTCTATTTTATTGTGTTTTTGTTTTAGTTTTTTGTGATTTTATTATTTTCAGTAGTGAATTAGTCAATTTTAATAGTAGAAACTAGAGATATAGTTGTTTTGTCATGGATTATTTTAGTAACAATTTTTTGTAATTAACAAATAAATGTCAGACAATGGATCAAACAGATAAGCTGTATTACTATTATACTACTGGTGGTAGGTGTACATGAATATACTTTAGGAGTACATGATGAAGCAGTGTTGAAGAATGCAACCATTGACAATATCAGTAATTAGTGACAATTAAGAAATCATACCATTATCTATCATCATGTTACAAGCAGTATATGGTAATGCAGTATGTACTAACACATATAACATTTCACTGTTGTAATGTCATCCCAACTGACAAGAATAGAATCTGTTCTATTTTTAGTAACACATTGCCTTGTTGTACAGATTCTTATAAACTGCTGTAGAGGATTATCTTCACAATTATTTGTTTTATCAGTATTTGGCCACGCCAATTAGATTCATTGTTTCTCATTACTCGCACTCATCGCCACCTCTAATTTTTAATATTGTCAATATGCCATAAGGCAAGAAACCAGCTGACATTAAAATACCATGAAATAATACATGCAATATAGAAAAAATACCACACACCAAAAGGGAGTATTAGATTATTTCTGGTATTGATGAGATGAGAGGGTTGATCACTTTTCTTTACTTAGCTAAACCCTCTTCTTTACTCATTCATACATACTGTATCTACACGTATGGCTCATCAAACAATGATGTGATTTTTATTGCTGATTCTATTAAAGTGTTTTTAATAAAAACTATGCTATCCATTGTCTGTTATAAATTATTAGTTTTAAGAGTAATTCATTTCATAATGTAAATTTGACTATAATAAAGACCAAGCTAGCAAAACACTGAATAGACCAATTATTATTGCAGTGAATCTTTGAAGTATTGCCATCAGATAAGTTAAAATTTACATAACAGTACTATTAATGCTACAACTCAAAAGCTATGAGAGCAAATGTCCAAGCAAATAACAGTTACATCACTAGCGCTCATGTTGCTACTATTACCAAAGGTAACAATTAGGTACTACTAGTACGTACATGTACATTAAGTATTGATTTTTATTTTTAATTTTAATAAATTATTTCTTGCAATTATTATTTCAAGAACATGAATTTAGAGAAGTTGCCTGTACATGTATGCCAGTGTATAATCAATCATTAGTATCATCACCAGTTGTTTTGTTTTATTGTCATTAAATCTGATCTACGTATAACTCCATGAGTCTGTGTGTAGGTCCCTGATGCATAGCGTGAGGGGCCTCCTCTTGATACTCTTCTATTCACTTCCTTCCATTGATGACTGGGGGGAGGTGGGCGAGATATTGGGACCTAAAAAATAATTAAGAAAATAATAATAATTATTAAAAATAATAATAATTATTAAAAATAATTATGATGCACATTATCGTTGAAGTACACAATTTAAAAATGAATACACATAATTTTTGGTCAATGCTTTAATGAATTCTCAAAAATCAGGCAAAAGTCCCTGTACTATAGTACCCAATCTCAGGCCAAATTTTGCCAAAATTGAAAAAGAGAGAAATCTCTATTTTTAATAATTTTTTTGATGTGTATATGTTGTGTAGAAAGTTTGAGCTGGTTCCGATCAAATTCAGATTTTTTACGAATTATTAAATGTTGCTCCAAAATCAGGTAAAAGTCCCTGTACTATAGTACAGGGGTGTCGGCCAAATTTCGCCAAAATTGAAAAGAAGAGAAATCTATACTTTTATAATATTTTCTGATGCATGGACATGTTCTTATGTTGTGTAGAAAGTTTGAGCTGATTCCAATCAAACTTAGATTTTCTATGAATTTTTACAGTTGCTCCGAAATCATGTCAAAGTCCCACATGTACTATAGTACACAGTCTTGGGTCAACTTTTGCAAAAATTTAGAAAACGAGAATTCTCTATTTTTATAATTTTTTCTGATACATATACATGTACTTATGTTGTGTAGAAAGTTTGAGCTGATTCCAATTAAATTTGGATTTTTAAAAGATTTTTGATAGTTGCTCCAAAATCATGCCAAAGTCCCTGTACTATAGTACAGAGGTGTTGACCGAATTTCGCCAAAATTGAAAAAAAGAGAATTCTCTACTTTTATAATTTTTTTGATGCATATACATGTACATGTACTTATGTTGTGTAAAAAGTTTGAGCTGATTCCAATCAAATTTTGATTTTTTACAAATTTTTTAAGTTCCTAAAAATCATGCCAAAATCCTGCACTATTGTCTATAATAATAATATTGTGACTGGTGCTTACAATTCTAGCACTGGTGACGGTGAGGTCTATTGGTTTCCCGTGGGTAGAGTGAGGGGGAGGGGGAGGAGGAGGAGGAACTGGTTTCTTTGTTGTTATGTGACTAGCTGAGGCACACCCTATCCTAGCTCGTGATAATGGCTGTACTGTAGTCCTGGAGTGAGCTTGAAGAGGAGTACTGGGACGAGGCTAAAGAATGAAAAGGAGGAACATAGTTATGCATGTATGTACATGCACATATAGTACATGTACTATATGTACATGTACATACATGTACATACATGTACATGTTTTTTTGTAATCAAACAAACTAACACAGCATAATACACTGTACATGTCAGATAAAAACACAAAAAATATGTACATATAGTAATAAGTACATGCACAGCAAATAATAATGCAAAACACGCATATACAATAAGGGAGGAAGATAGAAAGATAGAGTTAATGAGACATATTCCCTTCAGCAAGAGCAAGGTCCATGTACATGTACATGTATGTGTGTACATGTACATGGTTATAGGTACATGTGTATTTTACCTTTAAATTTTATCATGTACATTGTAGTATGTTTTTTACAAAAGAATGTTCATTAGAGTAACAAACTAACACAGCAGAATGTACATGTTAGATAAAACATTAGAAATGTAGTATTAAGTACATGTACATGTACATGTACAGCAAATAAATATATACATGTATATAATAAATATATTATGTATGTACATTGTAAGTCATGGAGCTGTAGTGTTTCCATGCATGTAAATTTTTTTGTGCTTTATCAGTGATAGTTATATCTTATCGGTTCTTGACCAAATCACACTAAACAAGCTAATTAAAATTAATATATTTCATAAGCCAATGAGGCACAAGGAATGATAACATTTCCTCATAATCATAATAACAAGTGATTGATTAAGAAATGAATGGTATTACATAAAAAAGCCCTGACACATACATGCAGATGATACTAACACATACACATGTATGTACATGTATACGTGTACAATATTGTGCTTTTATAATGCATAAGGTATTCCACCTTGTTAATAATGCTTTATGGTATGCTGCACTGATTAATGTTATTAGCTGCTAGTGTTTAAAGAGCATCACTAATCATCGCAACACGTTAAATACCGTAGTGTCATTATTACCATGTACCTCATAAGTAATTTTCCTTTATTTCTAACTCTCTCCATCTTTCTATATTATCATTATTATTATTATTGTCGTTGTTGTTGTTGTTATTGTTGTTATTATCATTTTAAAAAATAACAATAATAATTGTACCACATACACGTACTTGTATGTAATTCATATTGTACAATGTAGCTAGTACAGTATATTCATACAAAGCACATAGAATGCTTGTCATTAATAGCCAAAAACACAATTAAAGTATTCTATAGTCCATACATGTACATGTACATGCATTATTAGAAAATTGCTACATTACTGTACATTTACATGTGTACATAACATTTATAAAATAGGGTACATGAACATTGTACATTGTATATTAAATGTACATGTATAGCCAGCCATTCATTTACATTACAGTTCCTTCTCCTTACCATTATCCCTCCTCTTGCCTGTACTGCTGCTGATTTACTTCGATTCATGAAAGGTATAAAAGCCCTTGACTTCACTTCAGCTCCTCCTCCTCCTTCAGAATCATCACTTGTCTTCTTAGCAGGCAGAGAAGGAGAAGAATGAGACACATACCCTCCTCCTCCTCCTACTCCTCCTACTTCTTTTAACTTCTTTTCTTTCTTTCCTCTCTCTGATTGTGCTAGACTGTGGTCCGATATACAGCTCTCCAGTTCACAGTCCTCAACCAATACATCAGGGTTTGAAGGAGGGGCTGGTGAGGCTGGTTTAGGTGATTGTGGGTGAAGCTCAGTGTGTCTCAATACTATATCCTACAAGGAACAAGTTAATGATTGTACATTGTACACATGTAAGTGTCCGGCATTATTAGTTGTACAATGTATGTACATGTATGTATGCTTATATTATGTACACGTTTGTACATGTAGATGTGTATAATGTATGTACGGTATGTGTCCTTTATAGTTATTTTGAATGTACTTACATGTACATGTATTGGAGGGTAAAATTTTGAATTATTTATAGCATTTTGTTGGGTATTATCTTTACCAATAGGTCAACAATAGGTTTGTTAGTGTGTGCCATACTGATCATGCCATGAGTGTAGATACAATGAGATGTATCCATTGTATTCACACAGTCTTATGTGTACCAGTATAAATGTAGACTTCACACTGTACATGCATGTGTGTTGTTTATGTACATGTACATTGTACACTAACAGATATTGCTACATGTACCTCTATATTATACCAGTTAGGTGAGTGTGTGTGTGTGTATGTGCGTGTGTATTATTATTATGCAATATGTACATGTATGTACATGTACATGTATAGCTACATGTACCTTGTATAGTTGTTCTCTATATTCGTGAGCTGTTAGTTGTACATTATCATCAATCACTGGCACTATTTGACACCCAATCACTGGCTCCTTGTCAGAATCATGAAACCTATTGATTTAAATTAATGAAACACACCACAATCATCTTTATAACTTTTGCTTATAAGCACACACAAAAACACTGTCAATTTTCATTGTTAAATTTTATGGTTGTACATTATCACACATAGATTGAAATACACACACATTTGACTCTTCTCTTTTTCATTCTTTTTCTCTTCCTCTCTCCCCCCTTCTCTCTCTCCCTCTCTTTTCCATCTTCCTCTGAATCACCAAACCCTCTCTCTTCTCATTATCAATATATCAATAAGTACATGTACATGAACATGTATCTGCTAGTGTACTTTGATAGGTAAGGATGCTCTAGACAATTTTCAGCAGTCAGTCTCTTGTTCGGATTGAAATTTAGCAACTTGTTGAGTAAATCAAGTGAAATATCATCAGCTTGAGGTAATATATCAGTCAAATACTTGTGTCTCCTATAATTAAAAAATAACACATACATGTAATTAACTTGAGTGAAAATAATTATCGTAAAATGTACATGTACATGTACATGTAGATACACAATGAATTTATATAGCACATATCACCGAGTTACATTATTATGTACATGTACATGTATAGTAAAAACATACAGTATGCATGCAATATGAAAGGAAAGCATGTAAATAAATACTAACAAACACGTAGGAACAATTTAAATATCTATAAGTATAATGCATGTACATGTGAATGCCTGTGTATGGTAAAAACTACAGAAGTAAAGTTAGTAAACTCTCCCATTTGAGAGAGCTTGTTCATGAGAGCAGAAGTATGCATGGAATACATGTACATGATATATGTACATGTACATGTACATCGTACATGTACATGTACACTGTATGTACTTGTGTATTATTTGGTCCAGTATTGCTTTGGCGTAAGGTGATTTAATGCTCTCCACGTCTTGTCTTGAGGGAGGAGGGAGGGTAGACATTATCCTGTCCAACTGGTTGATGGTGGATGAGCCAGGGTAGAGTGGCTTACCTGTAAAGGATGATGATTAAATATCTACATGTTGTAATGGGTTTTTGTGCAATGAAAAGTGATAGGATATACATGTACATGTATGTTGTGTACATACATGTACATATACATGCATGTAAATGTACATGTACATGTTGTCTTGTGATAGATTTAGGAAACAAAGATGAAATGTGGTCATAATTATTATGAGTTGAGAGTTGTGTGTGGCCTCAGTGTGTGTATAACTAGTGTGATTATTCATTAAATTTCCTGTATGTTAAATGATAAATTCCATTCCATAAACTAATGAACTGTTACAATAATACTTATGTACATGTAGTTTATAATATCTCTTCCTACTCTTTCTGTTTTCTCCCTCTCTCTCTCCCCCCTTCTCTTTCTACTCCCTCTCTCTCTCCCTCCCTCTCTCTCCCTCCTCTCTTTCTCCCCCTCTCTCCCTCTCTCTCCCTCCCTCTCTCTCCCTCCTCTCTCCCTCTCTCTCTCCCTCCCTCTTCTCCCTCCTTTTTTCTCTCTCCCTCTCTCTCTCTCTCCCTCTTTCTCCCCCCATCATTACTTGCTATCATTTCTGCTAATATACAGCCAAGAGACCACATATCCACACCTCTAGTATAACGTCTTGATCCTAGCAATATCTCTGGACTACGATACCAACGAGTAGCAACATAATCAGTCATGGCTGGATTGAAATCACTAACACCATCACCTCCAGCCCCTTTACTCCCTTCATTGCTTATGCTAGCCAGTGATCGAGCTAATCCAAAATCAGCCAACTATTATGTGCATAGGAGAAATATAGGACATCAAATAGTGTAAGGGTGAACATCAAGCAAATGTATGTTATAGTGTTGATTAATAATAATGTACATGTATTAACATTACAATCATAGTGCTATTTCTCATACTTATTCACATAAAATTTGCGATAGGAAAATACATGTACATGTAATACCAAGAGTAGATGATTAGGAAAAAAGGACATTTAACATTCATTATAGTGCTACAAATTTGTCCCATTTACATTTACAATTGTACACATTAAAATTTAATTGTATTATGTAGTAATAGTATGTACTATACCTTAATAAAACATTCAGAATTAATGAGGATATTACTGGGTTTCAGGTCACGATGAATGACGTTACCGGAATGAATGTATTTCAATACCCGACACAACTGACTCATGATGTACTGCATGTGAACTGACTGGAGTATCTTACTCTTTATCACCGCATGAAGATCAGTATCTATAAGAGATTATTATAACATTTAATAATTGTGACTGGTAGAGATATACATGTACATGTATGTCTACATGGTTGACAAGTACTACAATACAGTACATGGGACTTGGAACAATTTTAAAAATTCATAGAAAATCTAATTTTGATCAGAATCAGCTCAAAATTGAAATACAACATAAGAACGTGTATATGTATCAGGAAAAATTATAAAAATGGCAAATTCTTTACTTTTCATTTTTGGCAAAATTTGGTCAAAGACCCTGTACTATAGTACAGGGACTTTGGCCCAATTTTAGAGTAACTTTAAAAATTCGTAAAAAATTCAATTTTAATTGGAATGAGCTCAAATTTGAAATGCAACATAAGAACATGTATAAGTATCAGGAAAAATTATAAAAATGAAGAATTCTCAATTTGTGATTTTTGTGAAAATACCCTGTACTATAGTACAGGGTCTTTGGCCTAGTTTTTGACCAACTTGAAAACAAGAAGCTTCATGAGTACTATGCCAAAATCCTGTAGGAAACCCTGGAAATAATCATTAATATGGTAGTACCTAAACTGCAACTTGCCCACAAATAACGTTTTATATACATGCAGTTCTACTTTGCTAGCTACTCTTGGCCTTACCCATAAATTCAAATACTAAGTAAATGTCCTTGTCGGTTGACGACCTTATTACATTGATAAGCTGGATCACATTTGGATGGTTAGAGAAAGCTTGGAGGAACAATATCTCCCGAAATGTCCTCTGTGCATCAGTTGAGTTTGCAAAAGCATCAAATATCTTCTTTAGTGCTACAATTTCTCCAGTTCTCCTATCAACACTTTTCCACACTATGCCATAAGCCTAAAATATAGGCAGGGAAAAGGAATAACGGGTATTAAAAGACCAGAGGCATTGGAAAGTGATACTTACTCCTTTTCCTATTCTTCTTTTTATGTCATACTTGACCAGAATGTGTCTGTCAATCTCTGCAGTCATGACTCAAAAGCAATTTCAATGCATCCGTTGCTATGGATACTTGTAAACCACACCCATCACTTAATCAAATTAAATTAATTATTCATTGTTGATGTTTGTATAAAAACATGCAGCGAAGACCAGAGCTACAGTATTTCGCTACAGTTTTATTTTACTGATAATCATGACTGTCACTCTGCTTCTTCTCCTTTTTGTCTCTGGCGGTGCTCTATCATCTGGTGGAGTATTAGCTTTAAAAAGCAGCAACACTAGTGCTTACTATGTTAACAGCAAGCAGCATAGTTGCAGTGGAGAACTTTGCCACACACTCTCCCATTACACAAACAAGACTGACTGGCCTCCAAACACTACGCTAATATTTCTACCAGGAGAGCACGAGCTGCATGCTCATCTTATCATTGAGAAACTGGACACTATCGCGCTGAAAGGACAAGGGACTGATCCACCAGTAATCAAATGTACTAAGGACTCTTTGATGATCAAGATAAAGGATTGCAGTGCAGTCAATATTGAAGGTATTGCTATTAAGTGCAGCCTCTTATCTTTAATTGATAATATTGCAACAATCGTTACTAACGTTAGTGCCAGTCAGTCTTACTTTTATAATGCAAAACCTTCCAGTGTATTTTCAACCGTTACGATATCACATTCAAAGTTTACATGTGATGAGAAACCCATACACAATTGTATAGGTATTAATCATAACACTGGTAGGATAATACTCCAAGACGTGATTACATCAAACAAACTTTGGTCTTGGAATGGGATAGATATGCTTAGCAATGGGGAAATTGATGTAAGTTTTTGTAACGTCTCAGCTATTGGCAATCATAACAACGGCATTGGAATTGTATTAAATCAACCCGGGAAAATAAATTTCACTAGAGTCAATGTATCAAATAACATGAGGCATGGGGTGTATATATGGTGCAGGGAAAGCACTCAAATGCATCTTGCAAATATCAACGCTAGTCAGAGCTATGAAGGACTTATATTGGTTTATTTTTACTATAACAGAGTGTATATTTCTAACTCGGTTTTTAACCAAAATCAAAACAAAGGAATCGGCATTTATCAAGGCACCCATAATATAGTGCATCTGGTCAATGTGACGACTGATATGACCGGAACTGGAATACGAGTTTATCCTCAAAGAAAGGTTGATGTTAATCTAATACATCTCATTGGAGTCCTCATAGCTAATAGCTCTAAACCAGCACTCCACATTGACTGCAATGGTAGGTGTAGATTAAAACTAACAAATGTCACAATTACTAATAATTCAAATACTGGTGTAATCGTTGTTGGAAAATGGGACGTTTATTTTACAAATCGTCCCTCATTTATATCCAATAACAGATCTCCAACAAATGGTGGTGGAATGTGGATAGACAGGTTGTGCAGTGTCACCAGTAGCACTGAAGTATATTTCATTAACAATACTGCACAAGGAATGGGTGGTGCTATCTACGTAAATGAAATTCGTTACTCCACATTTGTATACAGTCAACTAACGTTCAATAAATTTACACCAATATTTCAAAATAATTCAGCTTTAGTGTCTGGGGACAACATTTACAATGGAGTTTATCACAATCAGGTTGCAGTTTCGGATAAATTCAAAGAAATAATCAACTGTCAAAATTTAAAATATTTTAGTAAATATGTAACATCAGCACCATTAGGTGTTTGTGTGTGTGGGGATGATTCAATTGTTAATTGTGATGATAGATCATTAGATGGTGTAATATATCCTGGTCAATCTGTCACTCTTTCTCTAGTAACAGTAGGAGCATGTGGAGGGATAAGTCCTTCAGTATTAGTTACCAGTGACACTCGAAATCTGGAGGTAGTACATGCAAACGTTAATCAAGAGACAGTACGAAAATGTAAAAATTTCACATATACAATCAACAAAATAGAAAACGAAGGAACATTTCAAATCGGGATCAAAAAATCTGCAGCAAATATAGGATTGATAAACTCTCAAGTGGCAGTGAGTATCAGATTCATGGAGTGTCCTCTTGGCCTTCATGTTGTGTCAGGATCATGTCAATGTGATGATATCATTGGTGCTATTAATGGGACACACTGTGATATCAATAGGAGTCCTCATCATATTAGCAGATCCGGTAACAACTGGTTGTACTACAGTCAAGAGTATCAATGTGTAGTAGCACACACTAACTGTCCATTTGATTATTGTGATACATCTACTGTGCACCTCAGTCTCAATGAGTCTGATCTACAGT